TTGAAAAATATTACGATCATAACAAATTTGGTTCCCTCAGTCCGCTTATCTCTGAACGCATCATGAAGAATCACAAACATAGATTTACAAACAAGCCTGAACTCTATGCGGGTTGGCTTCTAGACATGAAAACTTTAGCTAAACACCTTAATGATGAAGAAATAAAAGAAGTCGTGCTAAAGTTAGCCCGGGCGGAATACCTTTACAATTTGTTTTCTTATAAAAGCGTGGAGCCTCTAATTAAAAAATTGAGCGTCGATGAAAGAGCATCCTTTAAAAATCAGGTTTTTGTCCAAAAAGATATTGGAACAAAAGTAAGCACCTGGCCTTACCCACCACCCTCTCCGCCCTCTTGTCCGGAGAGTGAAGTTGTGGACGGCGTTTTCGATGACGTTAAACATCAGCCAGACAAATACAAGTACATTGAACCACCAAAGTTCAAACGTGCAATAAAAAAGAAATGCGGTAAGTTTGGGGCATCTGAAATAGCGTACTGTATGGTAAGTGATTGTATTCCGAGCAGGAAAACTTTGCTAGATCAGCTGTTTGATCGCTATAGATTTTACAGCTTCGAGCGGACAATGTTTGAACTTCGAAAATTGTTAATGGCGGAGGGATCTGTGAAGAATCGAGAATTTATGATGCTAGTATTGGTTAGCAAATGTGGAGAGAATATGGACCAAGTTGAGAAGTTAATAAGTTTGCTTGTAGAACGGCACAAAAACGAATCAATTAATTTACGTGCAGCCATTGTGCGGAGCTTAGTTGTGCGGGCGTGCGTTTGGCGTCTACCACCGACTGCTTGGAGTCTCTTGCTTGAATTTGGACGAGGATTAGGGCTTGATGGAGGATCGCCGATAATTTGCCTCGAAGGTATGCACGCTGCAGTGTTGAGACTCTTATTGACAGGCGAAGAATGTCCACTTCCTTTGAAAGCCGCTTATCTTGACAATTTCTCGATTCTCACTAACTATAAGTTAAATGCACCCGAAAAACGTAAGGTAAGGGAAAATTTACCTGCGTTTCTTTTAGCTGCCGCTGTGGCTGATCCGGATTCGGCGCTAAAGTGTTTTGAACTTCTTTTAGACGCATTATCAGCGTTAAAATTGAAAGTTAAAGATTGTCCTGGTGCTGTTGACGCATTAGTGGAGGCTGTACATCGTGATCCAACTTCGGCAGAAAGTCTTCTTCATCGACTTTACAATAAACGCGTTGCCCGACGAGAATTATTCTGCGAAACCTTTAAGTTGTTCAAAACAAATACATCATATTTGAATGCTTTGCGTCACGATGCCAAGATGCTTACATCTACAAGCGACTTCATAGAAACGCTCAAAAATCACTCGTTCAATTATGACGGGTTTCTAAAAAAGCTGTCCTTGTATTTTGGAGAAGAAAACGGATTAGCTGCAACATATGTAGAAGCGATCACTCGGTTGGCAACCAGTGAACCGCACATGTCCTTAGCTCGACCACTGGCTTTGTTACGGATCGATATACGGCCAATTCTTGACGAATGCCTAAAAGAACCAAAGGGAAGTTCTAAAAAGCAACTAGGAGCTGCCTTGTTAGCCAATTATCACCATTGTAAGCCTTTAGATGTTAATTCAAACAATTGGCGAGCGCTTGGTGTAAAGGCGATTGCAAATAAAATACTGATTTGTAAAGCTGTTGATGTTGAAAAATATTTACAGAAATCGCTAGAGTGGCGACGAACATTAAAATTGGCATTGCTTCTTGCAGAACGAGTCGGTAATACATCGCAAGTCTACGCAATAGTTGGTAAAAAACGACCGGCTGCTGCAGTGCGGGCTGCAGTTATGTATTTGAAAAGAAATAAAAATTGTGACAAACTGGACGTTGAAGTGTGGAGAGCAGTTGCTCCTGTTTTAGGTAATCTGGATTTATCGGTGGAGCAACGTCGTCATCTTCAACAAAACCTCCTCTGTGACGTTGAATTTATCCCTTCGGACATTCAAGTCGAGTACTGGACCGAATTGTTAAAAGCCATCCAAAAGATATCAAGAAGGAAAGCGATGCCAATTATATGCACGCTGGAGAATTTATTGCCAGACATTGGTCCAGACGTAATTAAGAACATAATCGAGCAGTTTCTAGAAGAGTTTACACTGGACAACGTGTCAGGAGTTGGCTATAGCACAACAATTTGTCATAGAATGCAAGTGCGTATCATTGCTAAATATCTGCTACTATGTAAAAACGAATCCGAACGAAATGAAAAACTAGAAACTATTTGGGAACCATTCTTTAATCGTCTGACGTCGCTTCTAAAAAAGGACACTGAATCTTCGATCGAGTATGTAGACGTCTTTTTAATTGCATTGAGATATAATAAGGCTTTCTTCGACACTTCACTAGTTTCATGCTTGCCCGTACTGGAAAGAATAGTGACGGACTTGCGGAAGATTTTGCCAATGGAGGGTTACTTTCACGTCTTCGTCGTGATACATGCCATTATGCTATATTACAAGTCTATCCAACAAAGCCTCAAGCTACACCCAGATAAGTTTCAAGATGGTAAGACAAAGAATAGAGAGGGAACGGAAATTGTTGGTAAATTATTCGGACAACACATGGGGCAGGAGGTTCGCGAGTTGGTGTCGAAATATTTCAAGTCCGTGGTAACTCTCTACCATAGTAATCTGATGATATTGTTACGTGATAATCTTAATTACAGCGAGAGCAGGAATAGATTTATCAATGCAATTGTGAAAGGTTTGTTGGAAGTAGGCAACACTGAGGCGTTGCGTGTCGCACAATACATGTTGGATGGTGAGCTGTGCAGGAATCCTGAAGGAAAGGAGCTTTTAGAAGCTTTAAAAAAAACACAAGATGAGGAGGTTAAATTCTTTATATACGCGGATATGTGCTGTGGATATTAAACTTCAGGGTATTATTTGATTGAATAATACATTTTATTGCAATTGCTTTCGTAATGTTACAATACGCACTAAAAAAAATTTAAGGACAAGGACGAGATGAAAAAGGTCTTGCTTATGCTAATCATGTCGCTTGTAATCGCGTGAATAATTTTGATTATCACTGGTTTGGATAAAAATTGTACTGGGAAGAACCAATAGGAAACCCAGCGGGCCCTTTTTTAATAATAATGGATTTTTAAAGTGAAAACTTCTTTAGAATTGTTGTGCTTTGAAACTCGATGACACGAAAAAGCGACACTAAAAAGTGACATATACATCTATAGGGTTTAGCCTGCGATAGAATGAGATAGAATACAGTGTTTCTATTATCTCTAATATAATATATTATAATGTGTAATCTATCTATACTATAATAAAACTCTAACACGACGTCTGTCTGGACACGCATCACGCAAAAACCTGTGAACCGATTTGGATGGGACTTTCACTGGCAAATAGGTGTTGTTATAAGGAGTAACTCAAGCTACTTTTATTTTAGGAAAAGAATTAGGGTTCAATTTACAATCCATGAATTCCAATCGCAATAAATTCCATGCGGGCGAAGTCAGGACTAGGGAACAGCTACTGTATAACATGATTTTAAACTTGTCAAAAATATAATAATAAATAAACCCTACAATGATCCTGGATCCTCTGCATTCGTCTCATTCTCTCGGACTTATGTTTTCTAAAGGTTCTTGTAATTTTTCTACCGACTTCAAAAAGGAGACGGTACTCAACTCGGCTGTATGTTTTTGTTATGTGTGTTACCTCATAACTTTCAAATATAATAAGAATAATAGAAATCAGTGCAGATTTCTATTATTCTTATTATATTTGAAAGCTGGTGCTTCACATGTGGTCCCATATAAATTTGATCAAGGTCTGATAGTTTTCGAGTTATTCTTAATAATTTATATTGAAGTCGGTTGTACAAAATTATTAATTTTAAATTATTATTGTAATTTGTTTTGGAGTATTGTATATTTATTTGTATAATTTTATGTATTTATTGTATAATGTATATCATTGTTAAGCAGAATAGTGAAGTTAATCGTTTAGTGTAGTTTATTTACTACAGTAAATATAACAGCAAACTTTTTGTACAGATTAAAATGCGTAAAGCAAATTACTAAGCAGTCAAACAAGAAAAGTAATTTTTGACGTTTATAATATTTTGGAAAATATTTCGTTACATTATTTAAAACCAGTAACTTCGCTTTTTCTCATGATGGTTACATGCAGCAGTGTCGATGCAAACACTCGACCGCATTAAATTTTGCGCGTACTGTATACTATAACAATGTCTGACAGAAATCTAACAGAATTTATGAGCTGCTTTCTTACTTGAGCAGTTTCATGATAGTAGAGATGATGCCATGAGACGAAACCTCACGGCTTCAAGATGCTGAGGTTCTTATAGTTAGTAAGCTGATAATTTAAATAATTACTGTGAATCAAGTACAAGTGTGTATCATAATCATAACAATTTATTATATGTGCCTTACTCTTTGCCTGAAAGTGAAATTGTATTTGAACAACAGAAAATTTATTAAAACATTTGTAAGGATTTAATCTCTAAACTCTAGAATGAATACTAAAAAAATATTGTGGTAATACATTTTTTTGATTAAACAAAACGTGGACTAATACTCATTATAGGCGTTAAAACTATTGTATTTTTTAAACTTCCATTCTACCCGCAAGTTGATCACACTTAAGTTTTGAAATGTTTATAATATTTATATCTTTATAACTGTTTTTTCATTTATAGATATTTTTATAAATGGTCAATTATTGATAGTTTTAACAACAATAATTGTTTTATATTGTTTGTATATGTAAGATTTGTTTTTCGTAATTTTGTAAAAATAATGAATGGCCTATAACAAGTTGTGATTGTGTGAAAATAAAAATCTAAAATCTGTTTCTAACCTTTTATTTTATTAAAAATATAACTTAGATCAAGCTGTTAAGTTAAATAACAAAATTATACAACATAGTACATACAACATACAAGCTAAGTAAATGAGTTCATCAACAACTAATGTACAAGGGCTACTTTTCTTTATTAAGGGCCTCTATAAATTCTTCTAACTTCTCTTGTACTTGTCTCACTCGCTCTGAAAAAGAGACAAATAAGTGTTCATTTAAGTTCTTGGTGGGTAGTGACTGTGTAAAAAGTATCTTCTATGTTAGGGGAAAATCCCGTCCCTTCTCATGGATTTTTTTTAAATGGAATTTAAAAAAGAATGTCCAACCAGTAGGTTATTTTGTAAATTAACCATACCAAAATCATTTATAATAAAAATTATCAAATAATTTTGTTTAGATAGTTGAATATTTTGGAATATAATTGTACAATTTGTTAAGGTTTTTTGTAAAAATAGCTAATTTCCAATACTTAATTTTTTTAAACGAAAATTAGACTGGAAGTGAAACACATAAAAATTGACTTCATCAAATAAAATATGAGAAATTTCGTATTAATATTATTTACTAAATTATTTAAACAGGCATACAAGTCAAACATGAATTCACGTGAATACTTTGCAGTCTTTAAACCGCCACTTAGCGTTTGGCATCGATAAGTATGTCTCATGCCTCATTTTGAAGCAAAATAAATGTGGTGTCATCGTTTACAAGCGAAACACGTGTCGTGTCATCGTTTACAAGCGAAACACGTGTCGTGTCATCGTTTAGAGGCGAAACACGTGTCGTGTCATCGTTTAGAGGCGAAACACGTATCGTGTCATCGTTTAGAGTCGAAACACGTGTCGTGTCATCGTTTTGAGGGGAAATACGTGTCGTGTCATCGTTTACAAGCGAAACACGTGTCGTGTCATCGTTTAGAGGCGAAACACGTGTCGTGTCATCGTTTAGAGGCGAAATACGTGTCGTGTCATCATTTACAGGCGAAACACGTGTCGTGTCATCGTTTACAAGCGAAACACGTGTCGTCTCATCTACGGTGGTTCGCTTCCAAGTATAGGTAAACAGCAGTTGTTTCGGCGAGTTTGCGGTCTAGGTTTCCACTTTCTGAATCATGGTTAAACAATTCTATCCAACTGAAACAATATCATTTCGTCAAGTGAAAGTCTGCTGCTAACTCAGGAATTCATGATTGAGATGAATTCGCTTTCTCTCATTATACACCTTTTGAATCCTTGACTATGTTATGGTCTTGTTCAAATTGATACGCAATTCAGTCGGGAGGTTTCATTTAGACTGTCCAGCATGACTTGGAGTTCAAGCCATACTGCCCTAAGAAAGATATTGGTTGGCAAGGCGAAACATTTGTTTAATAAAAGTGAAGTGACAAACAAACTTACTAACCACATAATGGTAAGTGGTTACTACAGCCCAACTTCAAACAAAGAAGGCCACATATGCTTTGTCATCTCTGAGAGCTAAGTGATCTCTCTCTCATCTCAGTTTATAAAGAAAAAGAAAACGTTTTATTAGACCGTCCTGTATCTGGACGGGTATCGCACTATCTTAGATGATAATTAAAAAAATTATATCGTCATTCTAAATTAATATTTCCTCAGTTGTCTCTTACAACACTTGGTGAAAGAAAATGATACTATTTTGATATGTTTGCAAGTTTACTCACTCAGTTCTTCAGCGAGTTCCACTCTCCTGCCGGAGAGCAGTTTCTTCTTAAGTTCTGGATCTGCTGCCATCTATAAAAATGAATAGATTGTGAAATAAATATTACATGCAAAGATATGGAAAATTAATCTTTTCAAAAATGATTCAGTTTCGTTACGTTTCAATAGAGAATCGTAAATGAGTACACGATTCATTCGGTTTCTTTCAGTGAGCTCGTATGGTACCCAAATATCGAGCTTTTTTGTATAGCCAGACTTTTTTTCAAATGGGTCAAAAATGTTTTGTGGTCAATCCTCAATTCCTCGCCTAAGTCGTAATCTTGCTTCACATTTTCAAAAATGGCATCGACCTTATCCGTATGAGGGCGACCAGAGCGAGCGGTATCTTTGACATCAAAATTCCCGGGCTGAAAACGCTTAAACCAACTTTGTGCAGCTCTTATTGACACTGCATTAGGTTCATGAACGTCACGAATTTTTTTCGCAGCTCGAAGCCGCATTTATCCGTTTTTTTTTGTAATAAAACTTCAGAATGTATCGAATTTCTTCGTTAGATTCCCTCATTTTGGCGGACAGTAAAGCAATTGAAAAATGGCGGGAAAGTGTTTTTCATGTTTTATTGTTCTTTTTCTCAATGTCCTTTAAGTATTGATATTAAAACCACCCAGATACAATCAGTACAACTAAAGAGATTTTCTTTAATTTATATAAACAAAATACTAAGAAACTTTTTTTCCCGATCTATTATGTTATTTAAAAGCTTTTAGAAAAATTTACTTCGCAAATATCCGCGTTATAAAATAAAATGATGTGTCTTACCCTAGTATGAAGAGCACCTCCCGCGCTCCCTCAATTGCGTGCACTATCCCTGTCACCACTAATCCCAGCACCACTACTCCCAACACCACTACACTAGGCAAGACACACCACTGACGATAATACGACACGTGTTTCGCCTCTACACGAGGCATCCTCAGGTGATATAGACTCTACGGTGGCTAACCGCTAAGTGAGCGGCGAGCCAAAACAAGTGCCTTTTATACAGACCGATGACGCAACCGCTTTCTACATAAGGAACGAGCGACTGCGTCATGCGATAAAACATGCGACTAATCACCGGTGGACTTACGCAGCCGTTTGTAAAATTAAAAACAAACCGCCGCGCAACGCCCACCCTCCAACCACGCAACCAATCGGCGATCACCGTGAGGGTGACAAACGACCATATTGCGAGGCTCTCTATTATTAGAGAGCAGGCTTAAAGATATTTAAGAGAGGTGAGTTAGTAACATTTGTTTGTTCATTCAGCAATGCAACGGTATTATTATTACTTTTTGTTCCAGCACACACCGCAGCCTGGTGCCTCACCTCTATATCTCTCTATAAACTCTATCTAGAGTCTATATCACCTGAGGATGCCTCGTGTAGAGGCGAAACACGTGTCGTATTATCGTCAGTGGTGTGTCTAGCCTAGTGTAGTGGTGCTGGGATTAGTGGTGACGGAGATAGTGCACGCAATTGAGGGAGGGCGGGAGGTGCTCTTCATACTAGGGTAAGACACATCATTTTATTTTATAACGCGGATATTTGCGAAGTAAATTTTTCTAAAAGCTTTTATATAATGGATTTCCGCGAAGTAACGCCTGATTCTATTAATTATATTATGTTATTGTTATTTTTGTACAAAACCGGTTAGGTACTGTCTCAGATAAGATATACAAGAATAGAACATTCAACATTAAAAACATTAAAAAAAATTATAATCTAATTTAATGATAATATGTTACGCCTAGATTCCATAATAGTCAAATTCAGTAACAGATTTGAACAATTGGAAGTTGCCACCACTGTCGATGCATAATTATGTACATCATATTATTTAACTGCTGAACATAGGTAATTTCTGAAGATAGGCCTTCTAATAGATTTCATTATAAGGAACATATTTGCCACAGTTATCATAGACTACGAAACTATCTATGGTGGAGGCCTATGTGCAGTAGTAGACTTTGAGAAATTGTAATGAATGGAAAAAAATGCATTTAAAACTTAAGGCAATTATTTGAATATAAAACTGTGATATTGTTACTAATAATTCTCACACAATTCACTCAAAAGGTATTTTAATTGACTATATTGGCAGAGAGGCAATGCAGGTTTTTATACGTGGTAGAGCCATGCTGCAGCTATATTATGGTTGTAGCACGAATGGGTCGGCTCGAACGGGGAAGGACCACGCTCTCACAGAAAACCAGCGTAAAATAGCAGCTTAACGGTGCTGTGTTTCGTTTCCTTTTTACTGGCAAAGAGGCATTCCATCTTAGTCCTCACGGGTGACAACGCATCTGCGTCTTGAGTCTTTATTGAGGATAGATGTAGATGTCTATGGGTCACAGTAACCACTTACCATCAGGTGGACTGTGTGGTCGTTTGTCACCCGATCCTATAAAAAAAAGGTGGTACCTCGTCCAGCACCTCCCGCAGGTCGCGGTCCAGACGCGCAGCCTCCCGGTTGGCGATCTGCTGGCGCAGCGCGTTGGCCGTCGTGCGCAGCGTGGCCTGCACGCGCCAGAACATCACCACCTCGCAGCACTCTTTCTGTGCACAAACATTTATTGTGCTTATTATTTTTAGTATGCTTTTATTAGCTTTGCATGTAATCTATCTATTTATGTAAAGTAATCTCAATCCGCATTATAGGAGACCTGTTAAAATACCCGGAACAATTATTTGTAGGCCACACAAACAATAATCCCACAATAATGGTACGGGAATCAAACAGAGTCCCGTCGCAGCCAATGGTTTAGCTACTGCACTGTTAAAGCATTAAGGTAGTTGAGGTACTAGATTTTTCTATGGACCTAGTAAGTAACACTTAGTCCATTACGAACGACTTGCTAGAGAATCTTACTTTTATCTTACGGAGTGAAACATTTAATTATTCTGAAGAAACTAATGTCAGCAAAGAATTAAAACAACATAAACTACAATCATTTTATAGCCAAAGTACAAACAATGACAATTAATTCGACCGTTTGACAAAACATTCGATAATGGTAGTAATGATTTACCAGTAGAATATACTACCGCAGTGTGAACAAAACCTAGTATCAATTAAAATCAATAAAATTTAAGAAAATGGACAAAACATATACCATAAAACGATGACTACAAAATAAAAATTAAAAGACAAATATACAACACAACAAAAGATATTAATTTAGAAACATTACCCCAGTTCCATTCTGTTGACTGTACAAGTAGAAACTCTTTTTGCAGTCGCGCGCTCTTGTTTGCGCTCGCTGCAGGAAATTTCTGTAAAAATATACACGCGGAAATGTTAGTGGTGTATATAAAATGGTATCGTAAATAAAATACCGAAATGGAAGTCACTATGTTACCAAGCAATAGAACTAAGATGAAATACCTCACTTATACCCTTCAAATTTTTATACGTGGTAGAGCCATGCTACAGCTATATTAGTAGTATAGTTGTAGCAAAAAAGAGTCGGCTCGACCGAGGAAGGACCACGCTCTCACACAATACCAGCGTCAAATAGCAGCTTAACACTGCTGTGTTTCGTATGGTGAGTGTAGAGAACCGGAGATCCTTTTTATTGGAAACGAGGTATTCCATCTTAGTCTTCAGGGGTGACAACGCATCTGCATTTTGATTCGCAAACGAGGATAAATGTAGATGTCTATGGGCCACAGCAGCCACTTACCATCAGGTGAACTGTGTGCTCGTTTGTCACCCTATATTATAAAAAAAATGGGAACACAACTCTTGGTACAGTGCCCAAGCGATTACTTAAGCTCTATAGATGCGAAAAAATGGAGGTTATACATCACCCACATGAAACCAGATATTGCCTTATTTTGGGGCGAACAAGTGGTAAAATTAAAAATTTTGTACAACCGACTTCAATATAAATAAAATTAGAACATCATAAGTGCAGTCGAAGTCAATTAAATAATCATTATTAAGGATAACTCAAAAGTCAATGAAAAAAAATCATCAAAATCGGTTCACCTAAAAAAAGTTTATTACACACATTAAAAGAATACAGTCGAATTGAGAACCTCCTCTTATTTTTGAAGTGGTTGAAAACATATTATGCTATTTGAGTTGTTAGCAAAAACATATGGTATTAATTTTTATAAGGTTTACGTAGGTGTATTATTAGTAAAAGCTACAAGTTTAATCAATATGGATATGCAAAGTTTAGTTAGTAACTTAACTATGTAATGAAATCGACCATCATCGTCATCATTACAGCCAGTCCTCAACAGTCCCCAAGTGCTCTGTTGAACATAGGTCCCACAAAGCACGGTCCTCAGCCACCTGCATACAATGCCTTCCTGCATCTTTTACCAGGTCGTCACTACCTCTGGTAGGCTTTACGGATATAAGCCTGCCACTTGAGAACATTTTTCAGTAACGATAACGAAGTAACGAGAGGCACAATATCTGATCACATTATTAAACAATTTAACATATTATCCTAAAACGCAAATAAAAATAAGTACGTATGAACAAATGAATTATGTTAAACATGAATGAATGAATTAATAACGTTAGTCACAAATGAACGAATGAAAAACCCAGTGAATACTTAGTTTATATTATTTTAGTTATAAAGCAATTTAACATAATATTATTATAATCATGAATGAACGAAGGAATAACGTAAATCACAAATGAAGGAATAAATAACGCTAATGACGAATTAATAATTAATGAAAATGCCAGTAAATACTCCGTTACTATTATTTTTAAAAAATGCGAGTTTTTTATAGGATAGGGTGACAAACGAGCACACAGTCCACCTGATGGTAAGTGGTTGCTGCGGCCCATAGACAGCTACATCTATCCTCTATTACAAATCAAAATGCAGATGCGTTTTCACCTGTGAGGACTAAGATGGAATGCCTCATTTCCAGTAAAAAGGGTCTCCGGTTGTCTACACTCACCATACGAAACACAGCAGCGTTAAGCTGCTATTTTACGCTGGTATTCTGTGAGAGCGTGGTCCTTCCCCGGTCGAGCTGCTCCATTCGGGCTACAACTATACTACTAATATAGCTGCAGCATGGCTATACCACGTAAATTAATTAATTAACAATTAAATTAATTAAAATACTTAATTAATAATTAAATTAATTAATTCACCTAGTTTATCGCAAAGGAACGAATGAATAACGATAATCACGAATTAATGGATGAAATATATTATCGTACAAGTGGCATTTTACTCACTTCAAGTAGACCGGTTTCCAGGTCTCTCGTATGTAATCGTTGTCGACTTCCACGCCCCTGCGCCGCAAGTTGTCCCGCACGGCCACCAACTCCTCGTACGTGAGGCCGGGCCTGCTGGAGCCGAGCCTCTCCAGCTCGTTCCGGACTTCAGCCCTCCGCCTTTGCTCCTCGCTGCTCGACTGCCAGTACAGCCATTTCTCCTTGAAGCCAGGTCCTGTGGGATTGTCATCATCGTTAGATACGTGGTAGATCCACGCTGCAGCTATATTATGTTTTTTTTTATAGAATAAGGGTAACAAACGAGCATACAGTCCACCTGATGGTAAGTGGTTGCTGTGACCCATAGAGATCTACATTTATCCTCAATAAATTTGTAGCACGAATAGGTTGGCTCGAACGGAGGAAGACCACGCTACCACAGACTACCAGCGTAAAATAGAAGCTCAATGCTACTATGAGTCGCTTGGTGAGTGTAGAGAACCGGAGACACTTTTTACTTTGAGGCATTCCATTTTAGTCCTCACGGGTCACCCATCAGAATTTTGGTTCTCAATTGAAAATAATTGTAGATGTCTATGGGCCACAGCATACACTTACTATCATATGGACTGTGTGTACGTTTGTCCCGTTTAACGCAGGTGACAGTTCAGTAAAGTAAACCAGCGAGAAATAAATACGATACTACTTATGGACGTTTAAGAAACGAGCTTACTTTTTTTAAAAAGCCGGCAACTCACCTGCAATTCCCGTGGTGTTGCAATTGTTCATGGGCGGCGGTAGTCACTTTTATCATCAGGTGAGCCTCATGCTCATTTGCCCCCTCCACCAAACTTACAATAAATTAAAACCTTTTAAAATGTGATTACAGTATACCTGTGAGGTTCTTTAGTTCTTTATCGACTGAATTGAGTCTTTCTTTCAATGCGGCCTCCATGAGGGAGACAGCAGAATCCCAGTCAGAACGGGATGGCACACATCTGTCTTGTAGGGCGTTCAGCTGTAGTACTCTGAGCACCTGCAATAATTTTTTTTAATTTATATAAATACACACAAGACAAGGAAACAGTCATACAGTATGTTCGTACAAAGGTTCTTAGGTACTTATTTTATAATTTACTGAAATATCTTTCAGTAGACTTCATAAAGGAAAATATATCTATACAAATTAAATAAAATTGAAGTGTCTGTTTGTAATGTCAAAATTACAGCGTTTTACTATATACATATGAAAGTATAAACGGTGCTTATAACAAAAATACACTTAAAATTTTTTGTCTGTCTGTTTGTTCCGGCTAATCTCCGAAACGGCTGGACCGATTTTGACGGGACTTTCACTGGCAGATAGCCGATGTCATAAGGGGTAACTACGGCTACTTTTATTTTAGAAAAATAATTAGGGTTTCTCGCAAAAAAATTAAAACCCTAAATTACACGCGGGCAAAGTCGCGGGGAACAGCTAGTTTATAACTAAAATTAAAAATGTTCAAACTTCCGAAACAAAAAGAGCTGATGATCTTCAAAAGGCTGAACATATTTTCTTGAATCATATCTAAGAACACTCTCCACTAAGGTAACTTTAAAAAAAATCGTAATTTAAATCAGTTCATCCGTTCAGGAGCTATGATGTCACAGATAGACACACAGATACACACTACAAACATATAACACCCCCTCTGTTTACGTCGAGAGTTAAAAAGGCCAATTCAGTGCGTTTTCTTTTATAGGATAAGGGTGACAAACGAGCACACAGTCCACCTGATGGTAAGTGGTTGCTGCGGCCCATAGACATCTACATCTATCCTCGTTTGCGAATAAAAATGCAGATGCGTTGTCACCCGTGAGGACTAAGATGGAATGCCTCATTTCCAGTAAAAAGGGCCTCCGGCCACCTGCACTCACCAAGCGAAACGCAGAGGCAAACCTCTACCTCACGCTGGTATTCTGTGAGGTCGTGGTACCACCCCGGTTCGAGCCGACCCATCCGTGCGACAGCAAAAGCTGCCGCGTGGCTCTACCACTGTTAAATCAAATGTACTGTACATTATTATTATTATTAATTAATAAATAGTACATAATGTTGTGTAAATTACAATAAATAATACGAGTACGTATTTACCAAATAATAGGTATGAATTTCTTCCAACATACAAGTGAAAGAGATATTGCAGTGCACTTAATGATAAGTGGCCACTGTAACCCCACACACTGTTACCGTTGCAGTCTAACATAAGACAACACAAGTTCACAGCTCAACGTAGGCCTCTCCTACAGATTGCTTTATAGGGTAGATATTTCACATAGTTGTCACAGGGTTGATAACTGTAGTTTTCAATAGACTTCAAAAAAGAAGGAATTCCTCAATTCGACTATATTTTTTTTATGTGTTACATTAGAACTGTTTTTTAGATATACCGATTTTGGTGATTCTTTTTTTTTTATTTGAAAGCTCATATGGTCCCATATAATTTGATCAAGATCTGACCAGTAGTGTCTGAGTTATCCTTAATAATGTGTATTTAATTGCCATCGACTACATCGATGATGTTCTCATTTTATTTATATTGACGTTGGTGGTACAACATTTTTAATTTCACCACTTTTTCATTTTTTTTTAATTATTAGGAAGACGCTGCTGCCCATCTCCTGATTTGTTTCCCCATGTCGCCTCTCACGACACCCACGGGATGATATGGAGTAGTGGATACTTCTACACCGCCACTACACGGTTTTTTAAAAGTTGACTATTCATCGACTATCAGGGTGATCTTCCATCCCACCAGAAGTACACTGCTGAACATATAAAGATCTGTAAATTAAACTTTACACACAAAATAAACAGATCTAGATTTGATTTGAAAATACTTACATCTTGCGCCCTCTCCTCCCACGTGTGCCGGCTGAGAGCCTCCTCCACGGCAGCCTTCTTAACCGGTTCGTACACGGCGTCCGAGTCCACGGACTGCGACATTAGACACGTGAACTCCTCTTTGAGCGCCTCCCGGCCTGCCAGGATCGACTGCGTTGGCAACTCGTTCTCTGCCCACTCGCGTAACTTAATGTCTACTGACGTGTTGAACTTATCTATGGATTTCGAAAAACAACATGATGGTAAATAAACCTTGGGAATAAGGTGATCGATACCGAGCTATTTTTAATTTATTGTGTTGTTAATTGTGTAACATAATATACGATCGTGATCGCTATCAAGCTATTTCTAATTTGTTTTTTACTGTCAATTGTGTAACATATATGATCGTCAACAGTTTTTTTTCTTCATTTTCAAAAATAATTCCTGTTGGGTTTTTTGAATAGAATATTGAATAACAGCACCAAACTCAATAGAATACCTTTCTGAGGGATAGGTCTTCTCGAAGATTCTTATGCGTAAAAGTCCGTCCACTAATCTCATTGACTTTTTAGAAGATATGGAGTGTCACTAATTATAGATGCCGTGTAGTTGCGGTGTAAAGTTATAATAATACAATATTATCCCGTAAGTGTCTAAGAGACGACAGAGAACGATAATGAACTAGAAGATGGTCGCCTGGAAGCCCAAAGGGCGGCAGAATCTTCCTGATAACAGTTTAAAATAATAAAAAAACTGCTGTTGCCAAATCGCCCGCCAAGCGTGTTAATTATGGCAAATGCGATTGTAATTGTTTATGCCCAAATTTGCTCATTTTTGAACGCCATCCAATTGCGTTCGAGCTGGCGCGTCACCCGATGATATGTAGGTGAAAAAAACGCAGCCAGGTGGGGTGGCCGTGTGCGGCTTGCAGTGGCTCGACGCGTGGGCGACGAAGAGTAGTTCGCTGGCCGCGATGCGGTGAATCCGCGTATCTCGATTATCGCGGCCGAAGTTCACGCGACCGTGTAGGGTCCAGATAGTTTTTTTTTTAGTGCGTGTTACTTCGCTACGTGGATATGTGAATTTTGCAATATTTAACTTGATCGGGTGATGCGGAATTGTGCACGCGCGCGTCGAGTAGATATACGGTCTAGGATTTGAACCGCGCATTTCTTGGTCGAGAGCGTCTCCCGGTTGATTGTCTGGAAATCATTATAATTGTGCCGTCGCGTTAAGTGCCCTTTTTTGTGTCTTGGTTGGTTTGTTAGTTTACGTGTCAACGAGGCGTATTTTGAATTCTTTTCGCGACGTGGTGTTTTGGTGTCGAATGAAGGAACTTAGTTGTGTTTAACGCTGAACCGTATGACGCATTAAGAGATCGTGTTAGTTCCCTATTTATAATTTTGTGATAAGTGAACCCGGGACATTGAATGACGAATTTTAAACTACTGTCCTTACTGTGTCGGGTATCACGTGTTCGATTCTACGATGAATGTGGAATTAGGCGAGTTTAAGTTAGTTAAATGTACAATGAAGCTAATAGACTGAAATAGTGACAATGAAGAAAGAAATGGTCCAGCGGTGGAGCCTGCTGGAGCGATGCAGCATTGTGGGGCAGCCTGGAACTCGGCCGCTGCTGGTCGCCTAAGCTGGTCCAGGTCTCAGACATTTACACATCACTAAACACTACTTGCCATGCACCTCACACCCACTTACGGCCTGACCGAACCTTGGGGCGATCTAAGAGTCGGAAACAGGTAAGTACTATATTTCCCTAGCCTTCTCCCATATAGCGTAGTATTATAGGAAATTATTCCATATGGCCATTGGGCCCGACCTGCGTCTGCCGGTCGAGGAAGCTGCTATGGGCCCCAGCCAAGACGACCTTTGCATGGGCAGCTGTAGGCCGTAACAGTAATACTGATTTAATCACAAGATTTGTAATTACAGAGGTGACAACGAATCTGTAGCAATATATGATATCTCTATGTTAAGGTCTAAATTTACACCTACTATGTTCTACTCAATAAAAAATTAAGTAACAATAGCTAAAATAGAACTCTGAATTACATACACTAAGGTTTATTTAAAGGGCCATTTATATATTACGTCACACAAATTTTATGGTTTTTTGACCCCCTTCCCGACCTTGTCACAAGTGGTTACATTTGTGAAACCCCCTCCCCCTGGTGTGACGTCACGTATTTATTATTTTATATTTCAGAAGTAAATTTTTCTAATTTAAATTCAAAATAATCTTTAAAAAATCAAAATACAGGCAAATATTTTACATAATGGACAAAACAAAAGACCAATTAAAGAACGATTTACAATTAATAATGTTATAATAACAGATACAAAACTTAATCATCTTGTGTCCGCGGACTTTGCACACACTCCTTGATATTGTTTTATCACTGGCATATTTTCGTTGTCGTCTTGGATATTAATGTCAGGAATATCAGTTGTGTCAATATCATTTTCTTCCAACCATATATCATTCTTTGAGGGCGAATTTTCGCGATAGGATCTTTGAAACCTCTAAAATTATTTAACATGTGACGTCACATAACTTTTAAACCCCCCTGGTCCCTTGTGATGTAATTTATGGACGGCCCCTAATGAATAATTTTAAATATAAAATTAGCAAACTATTACATTCCGTTTACTGTGTATACAACCTATTACAATTAGTTTAAAAATAATTGTAACAGGTTGAATTTAAATATAATAACTGTTTAAGTCAATTTTTTAAATATTATATTACTAAGACTAGTGCTAAATAAACAGATTCTAAATACCAAATATAATGTACCAATAAATATCTTAATAATAATATTTTCAAGTTTTAAATAATTCGGTAAACCTTACTATAGTCAATATCATACGGGTCCGGCACTAAAGTGGTGACGTCATCGGTCCCCTTGTGTTTGAACTTTATTTGTTTGATCATCAGCTTCTCTGGGGGAGGATATGGAAGGATAAGGATAAGGAAGATAGGTATTAACAAAGAGGATGTACTTGGTTAGTTATCACCTTTATCTCTTTCAGATACTAAATTAAGGACTAAGGAATTTATAGATTATAATAATCCCTGGTAATAAGGTGATCACTAGCATGCTATTTCTAATTTGTTTTGTGTAGTTAATTGTGTTAAAAAAGTTCCGCTTAATTTCTTGCTGGTTCTTTCCAGGTCAGAGGTATTTTTCGAACCAGTGGTAAATTATACATAAGAATGATTTTTAATAAATATTATTTATAATGTGTATAGTACCTATATAAAAATCAATTGCTGTTAGTTAGTCTTACCAAAACACAAATACGGCTTGATCGATTTTGATGAAAGTTTTTGTGTGTTTGAATTGGGTTTCTAGATGGTTTAGAATCACATTTGGTATCGGTAGGTGGCGCTGTTGTCGAAAATCAGAAATTACTCGTGCGAAGCCGGCGCGGATCGCTAATCTTGTATAAAAAGTGTCTATTTTTGTTTCTTTTACTTAGTTATCGTTGTGTTCCGGTTTAAAGGCGAGAAGTAAAAAGAACAGTATAGTTACAGGCTTCTTGTTAGTCCTGAGGTGTGACAACACTTCTGCAGCCATTTGTCCAAAGATTGTTGAAACCACTAACGGGTGGAGTGTTAGCTCAAATGTCAAATATTATTAAAATATGCAACATTGAGCCATATTTGTCTGGTAATCAAAAGGTTACTAAAATACCGGTACAGAACCGGTTTGTTGTGAAAAAGAAAATACAATAAAATCTCATGTGACATTAAAAAGCAGATAAAACGGTAAATAAAAATGATTGTGTTGGTGCAGACCGACGTCTTCGTGCGCGTGTGCGGCAGCAGGCAGGTAGATGCCCTCGAAGATCCTGTCGGAGGCTGCGGCCCAGAGCGCTTGGCTGAGGCGCTGCTCCCAGGCGGGCGCGGGCACGGCCGACAGCTCGGCGCTCTGGTCTAACAGTTCGGCACGCGCGCGCTCGAACAGCTCGTCCCGGTCCAGCTCCCGCTGCCTGCAAGCCCCACGACAACGTCACGCCTCATGTACGCTACGAAACCGTGACGTGTTTCAACACGTACAACATTACACCGTGTAATGTCCCGTGCGACAACGTCACGCTAACGATTTCGTGACGTGTCATGTACAACATCGTGTAGAGTTGTATCACGTACGTCATTGCACTGTGTAGTGTTGTATCACGTACGTCATTACACTGTGTAGTGTTGTATCACGTACGACATTACACTGGGTAGTGTTGTATCACGTACGTCATTACACTGTGTAGTGTTGTATCACGTACGACATTACACTGGGTAGTGTTGTATCACGTACGTCATTACACTGTGTAGTGTTGTATCACGTACGACATTACACTGGGTAGTGTTGTATCACGTACGTCATTACACTGTGTAGTGTTGTATCACGTACGACATTACATCGTGTATTGTTATATCAAGTACAAAAATACACCGTGTCGTATTGTTCCACGAATGACAATATAGCGAGTCGTATCGTATCACATACATATATACTAAGCCATTGCACCAGCCGACAAATTTCAAAGGAATAACTTATTAAATGATGTCGATAAAAGTATCAAATAATTTGAACATTGCTCTGTAAAAATCTCTAAAAATTTTAAATTGCTGAAACTAAATAATTTTATTTAATTTATATAACAAAAACAAAAACTGTAGCATTAAAAGTTATGCAAACAAAAATAATCTGCATACACAAATTTACTATTAAAAAAAAACATAAAATTGTTTTATTAATTTCAGGCTATAAAAGAATTTTACTGATTTTGTATTGTTTAACATACTAGCGGAAATGAAAGGAAGAGCATTTTTAGCTCTAACGACCCCGAGCGGCATCTACTCAGAATACCTGTACCTGATGTAATCTTTGCGTTAACGTCGTTGGTAGGCTACAAAGATCAATATCAGAAGAAGATCAAAACAGTGCCAGAGATATGATAAAAACAAAACTAATACATTATAATAGATGCCACCTTTGTTTAACAACGTATAATCATATGTTATACACCATTACTAATCAGAATGACCTCTGTTCTCACATACACAACATGCTTGTACTAAACGATGGTATTGCAGATGGTATCCGCAGTGTGAAACAGCAGTACATACCTGGGGAAGGTGTTCTTCCACTCAGTCTCGAGGTTAAAGCGCATGGCCTTGAAGGCGTCGGCCTGCTGCTCCACCGTGGCGCGCACCATGCGCCAGAAGCACTCGGCCACCGCCAGCGACAGGTTGCGCGTCGTCACCTGGGACGGCGTCACCACACCCTCCCTGGACATCCAGAACCAAAGGTAAGGCGGGAATACACACACCATCCAATGAGGGAACTAGCTTACAGGCAAAATAATGGCGCACTGAGAATACATTTGCAAATAAAATTGCACGTATTACGCTTCGAGGCAAGCTAGTAAATAACCTGTAACAAATATGTGGCACATGTCATATGCGGTTATAGAACACCATAATAAAAAATATAATACGCTAAAGAGTACGGTAGCGAAGCCTCCACAGAAGACGAGAAGTCGGGCTTGCCTTATCAAACTGCTCAATCAATAACTAATAAAATAGCTCGTAAACTATTTCAAAATTCCCGCGCGCTCCTCTGTTCTACACAGGTCATGACCTCGTAACCTTATTATATAACGTCAACACTTGGCAGATTGCTTTCAATTCGAAATACACTGATTCGTGTTCTCTCTGTCTCAAAGCGAACATGCAATGGACTGTCAAAATGAATGAAAGCAAAGTAATATGGATCGGTCGCGGCAAAACTGCGCGATACTGCTGTCATAAAAAAGGAGTTGAGTTGAGCGATTAGTCGTCTCTCTCGCACGCGTGGGCTTTTTACCGGGCTTTCAAGAAGACGATCGCTCCCTTTCTAACCTGTGGCAAAATGTTATATAATGAAATATAACTACGATTGTTTATATAGCAATTAGAATGGAGCCATAAGGTGGGCTTTCGGTGTGAAGTTAGTCGAGCGCGGGGCCGCACGGGCGTTACGTTTGCAAGTTCACTTCACATTTCAATGTTTACTCTGTGTGTTTACTTGAACGAATGAATATTGCGAGTTGAAAATTTATGCTTTTTTAAAGATTTTTAGTGAAAATGGAGGATAATAGTGTTCCTTGTGATGAATTGAAGTGTGTTAAAGTGCTAATCGGCGAGGATAAGGGAAAAACTTTGTTAAATATATAGAAATACACAAGGTCAATATCGTCTTTCAGACTTATCAATTACCGCAATTGAAAAACAGTTATTGGTACAATTAAAACGTTCACCAACATTTTACGCGGATGTAATCAAATCTTTCCTTAAAAAAGAGAGACGATTCGATTTAGAATATAAATAACTGTTTTTTTTTTAATTTTGTACATTGTTTGTTCATGCTTTTCTTTTGTTCATGTATTGTATTGAATATAAATATCTTCTTTTTTTTCGCTCAAGCAAACCCAAACGGCTTTTTTCAAAGCCACCGAAGGTATGCAATTGCTGATATGTCATACAATCTATCTAACAGTAGTATGCCTTCTGTGTGCTTTGTTAAACACGTCCTCGACAGCACTGAATATGAAACTGAAGAGTGGAGACAGATCAAGATTGATGTATTTTTATAAAACTGCTAAAAACAACAAAACCATATCTTGGGCTTGCCCTAGTTTGGAGCCCTAGCTTCGCCACTGAAAGGGTGGTAAAAACATGCTGCAGTGTATTACATTTTTTTTAACTTAATTGGAGAGCAGTTTTGTCAGCGAGTTGCATAAAAGTGGCAGTTCAGTAATCGCAGTCTATTTATTCTGATGATGTCTTATTTTGAAGCGAAAAACGTGACATTTTGTGACTGTTGACTGTCTTTTCTAGTATGGTGGTGTTAAAGTTATGACGGTGATAGTCAATGTAATTGAAAGAGACAGGTGCTTTTCAAACTAGACAAGACACATGATCTTTATTTTATTAATTCTAACAGATTTTCATAAAGTAACGCCTGATACTATTATCTTTAAATTTTGCAATTTTGCTTTTCGTTCTTACAACAGCCGTCGCTTCGTCGCCCAAAACAATTTTTCACACTAAAATTACTTAAATACTTCCAGTATTACTTTATACTGTACCTTTTTTATTCGAACTCGCACCAATTCTCATTCACCGTGATCATTTACATTCGTTCTAGGCTCAATCATTCACAAAAAAATATATAGTCTAAGTAAAGTCAGTACGTAAAGCCTAAGTAAGTAAAGTAGTAAGTCTAAGTATAAGTCGTATTGAAAACTTACTTAAAAAGTTTGGAGGAGCGGAAAAATCTCTCCTCGTACTCCCGGATGCTTTGTATAGAGTCGTCTTTGCGACTGCGGCCAGTCACCACCGCGTAGTAACCTAGCGCTTTCATTGGGAACAGCTTGCCATCTAAAATGCGACGTATCTGAAATATGTTTTAACTTTATGCCAGTGTTTGATTACCATCTCACCTGATCCTAGCAGGGTCGCCATGTAATGTAGGAAGATGTTAAATGAGAAGGAGACGTATTGCTTCTTCTACAGTACGATACGAGGGTGGATTGAAAAGTACTCGGCCTAACACAGATCCATTCAATTCTAAAAATCAAATCTACCCACATTATTTAGTTCAGTTGAGACTAGTTCATTGTGTGAAGTTCGAAACGTGTGCGATAATTAGTTGTGATTTTATAAATTTATTAACAAAGTAATCGGACATAATTTCCGCGAATGGAGCAAATCGAGCAGCGTGCCGTCATTAAGTACCTCCATAATAAGGGGCTATCATCAAAAGCCATCCATAATGACATGGTCAGTACATTAGGCGATTGTGTTCTGTCATATTCATCCGTCAAAAAATGAATAGCAGAATTTAAGCGTGGTAGAGAGAGTGTGAAAGATGAACCCCGCTCTGGAAGGCCTTCGACGTCAACTACTGACGAAAATATTAAAAAAGTACTTGATTTAATAATGGGAGACCGCAGATTAAAAATTAGAGAGATAGCCGAGATTATAGGCATCTCTTATGAACGAACTCAAAACATCATTGTCAACGAGTTGGGTTTCCACAAGGTGTCTGCGAGGTGGGTTCCGCGACTGCTTTCAGTTGAACAAAAAAGGACGCGATTGACTATTTCACGCGACTGTTTGGAGTTATTTGAAGCCGATGCAGATGATTTTTTGAATCGTTTTGTTACTATGGACGAAATATGGGTTCATTACTGTACACCGGAAACAAAACAACAATCAAAACAGTGGAGAAGACCTGGTTCACCACCCCCTAAAAAGGCTAAGTCGATTTTGTCGGCAAATAAGGTGATGGCTTCAGTATTCTGGGACTCGAAAGGTGTGATTATGATTGATTATCTTGAAAGGGGTCAGAATATAAACTCTGATTACTACTGCACCTTACTACGTCGTTTACGAGAGGAAATAAAAGAAAAACGTCGAGGAATGCTCAGAAGAAAAGTCCTGTTTCATCAAGATAACGCCCGTGTTCACACGTCAGTACAGTCAATGGCTGAAATTCACAACTGTGGCTTTGAACTGTTACCGCATCCGCCGTATTCACCTGATCTGGCACCATCAGACTTCTTTCTGTTCCCTAACCTAAAAAAGCACTTGGGAGGTCAATGATTTTCGACAAACGACGAGGTCAAAGCAGCTGTAGACGCATATTTTGACTCTAAGGAAGAATCATTTTTTTTCAACGGTCTAAATGCTTGGAAGGGGAGGTGGCAAAAGTGTATTGAACTTGATGGTGATTATGTAGAAAAATAAAAATATAACTGATTTAGTATTTGTTTATTTTCTTGGTTAGGCCGAGTACTTTTCAATCCACCCTCGTATAATGTAGTCGAAGATGGTAAAACGCACTAGCTTAGCTTAACAATAGCCTGTTTACTTTTGTATTCAAGACTAGCTGTTCCCTGCGACTTCGCCCGCGTGCAATTTGTTATTTTGGATTTAATGGGTTTTAATTTTTTTTGCACGGAAACCTCTTAAAATAAAAGCAGCCTAAGTTACTCCTTATACTACCCGATATCTTCCAGTGAAAGTCTCGTCAAAATAGGTCCAGCCATTTCGGAGATTAGCCGGAACAAACAGACAGACAGACAGACAGACAACAATTTTATAAATTGTGTTTTTGTTATAAGTACCGTATATACTTTCATATGAATTTAGTAAAAAGCTGTTATTTTGACATTACAAACAGACACTTCAATTTTTTTTATTTGCATAGATACCTAAATTGTGATACATTCTTTACGATTTAGTTGTGTAGTGACGGTGTAAGAGTGGTGTGGTTCCTCTTGTGGTACTAAGAGGCAACTATGGGATATGCCAGAAACATCTTATCATTTCCGATTGATGAAGTTATAACAATCTCATACATCATACTCTGACCGGTGCCCGCCTGTAGTGTCAAAAGTGCTTACGTCTAATACTGTGAACGTAAATCAACCTGACAAGCATGGTGATTGGGAATTGGAAGGAAAATCCTTCCTACAAGGGTAGAGGGCACATGTATGGCCCGTTTATCTAAATTATTGATCAATCATTACATCCTCAGGATATTTTCCTTCATCGCAAGGCAATCGATTTATCGCTCTGGAGGCGTATTCTTCCAGACAACTATGGAGTGTAGAGTACAAGGAGAACCATCTTATAAGGGGCGAAGGTTGAAAAAGTGTCCTACTATTTACTGAAAATAGAGGTTCCAAAACCTACCACAATAGCGCTGGCGTCTGAAAAACTACGATATGAAGATAGCTGTTGTGAACGGAGTGAAGTCAGCTGAATTCAAATATTTAAAAAATTTCATGACTAGAGTAGTTAGTAAAATGCCAGTACACAAAATCTCAACTACTTACGTAGTACACAACCAAGCGGATTGGTCGGTCCTTGTTTATTTCTCCATCTTATTCTAATTACTTTTGGCGCTTTTTTTTTAATTTATCCTATGCTACTGCAGCGCCTCCCACCACCCTTATTGGACACGTTTTTAGGGACTCTTTTCATATATAGAGATGGTCCTCCTTCTCTCTACACTCCATACAGACAACTTTAATGCGCAATTTTTTTTAATAACTGGCTTTACGGCTCTGGGATCTAGCCCTTCTGAGCCAGCCGGCCAGCCACCGGGCCCCTAGGTTTGGAAGGGGTCCCTCCCCCGACCAATGGGGGGTAATTCCCCCAGGGGCGGGGGTGTCATCACCCACCCTCAGCGTGTGGAGAGGAACTTCACGGCCACTCATCGCTCCGCTGGACCCTTCTCACTCCCGTTAGCTGAGTGGCCGCGACTGGTGTACCACTGTTCCCCATTTGATGGAGGTGGCCCTGGCTAGCTGCCGCCTTAGCTCCCACCACGGCCACCTCCACTGAGCCTTAAGCCATCAACAGTCCACTTGTCAAAATGTTCTGTTGCCGACGACCTCAGTGAAGGCGTACAACCCGAGTGGCGACTGTTAGCGGTTCGCGCTCTATTGGTCTCGGGTTCACGCCGTGTGGCCTCCACTTGGTGGTGGGAAGATTAGGGCCCCCCTAGAGCGTTGCATCACGCTGTCAAGGGGTATTAGATTTGGTTTGGTCGAGCACTTAGTTAAAATTCTCTGAAAATTAAAATTAAAAAATGCTTTTGGGTTTTCCGAGAAATTTTCATATTTGTAGCGGTTGTGATTAAAAGAATTGAAGTTAATCTACTCCTTTAAATGCTGCTGCATATGTTTTGTAAATATATTTAATCACTGCATTTGATTGTAATTTGCGCCTGGTTGCTGAAAAGAAAATTTGAATTCATTTGAAATTGAATGCCGCGCTACTTGGAAAATTATGTATATGTTTTGTTACATTTGGCTTACATTTTGTTAGCACTGTCTAAGTTACGAAAATGAGAAATAGGGCTGTCTCTTACGTTGTTGTTTTGTTTAATTTGTCAGGTTGACCTATGTGCATCGGTGATTAATTTGGTTGAATTGGTTCTGTAGTTGAACATTGATGCTTTGAAAAATTAGTTGAAATATGAGCATAGGACTACTTGCCTAACAGGCTGGCAAGTTGTAGATTATCAGATGGAAATCAGCTGTCGCACCATTTGGTAAATGATTATATGGTGGATGGCCTGGCTATGCCTACTTGTTTGAAAATTCATACTAGGGACTATTTGTGCGTTCGTTCGGCTCTCCACAGACGACGTTCATGGGGAATTTGGGGGTGCTCTCTGCACTGAAGCTTAGGAGGTTACTCTGAGCCGCTTCGTGTCGCGTCGCTGTTTGCAGACCTGATCCGGTCGGATTGCGGAACTAATCATAGGGGCACAGATAGGTGTTTGAGAGAGGTCGTCGGACTTCTGTCCAGTACAGGACTTGTTGAGGTGCTGCGATGTCCAGGAGGGGCATCCAGTGGAGGCTCGACCCTCCGGCTGGCCCGTTTGCTCGCGGACATAAGTCCATATGTCCGGGGCGGGGGTTTGTTCGCGCCAAGCGCTAATGTCAAGAATCGACGCCAGAGGGCACTCGGCTCGGCGCGATACCGGTTTGAAGTTCGGCCGAGCGTGGCAAGAGCGCGCGGGTCGCGAGCGAAAAAGCAGTCGTCTGCCAGCTGTGCTAATGTCTGCACGCTGTCAATTTTTGTGCGGGAACCGCGGAATAGTTTAGGCGTATAGTAAATATCCTGTCTAGGATTTATAACGCGCATTCCTTGTTGGATAGCCTTTCCCGGGACTTATAGGGTCCGACTCAGAATCTGTATAAGTGCATTCGACAATATTAGCTAGTGCGGCCTTTGATATTCTAGAAATAACTGTTGCTACGCGAAGCGGTAGTGACCTTTGATCTGGACAATAGTTTTGTGTGTTAAGCCTTATAACAAACGAGAGTTAGTGGCTTCTGTAAGTTAGTTAATAGTACGATAGAGTTAATGGACTGTCATCGTGACGAACGAAGAATTGGTCCGGCGCCGAAGCAGTCTGAAGCGGTGCAGCATTTTGGAGCAGCCTGGAACTCGGCCGCTGCTGACCGCCTATGCTTGCCAAGGCCCCACATTTCACACCTCACTGTACACTACTCGCCATCCACTATTACACACACTCACGGCCTGGCCAAGCCTTGGTGCGAAGTTAGCTTCGGATAATGATAAGTACTACGTGTTTCTAGCTTCCTCCCTTATTGTTTATTGTAATTAGGAAATTCCACGTGGCCATATTCTGGCCCCGTCCCTCTGCTGCTCGTCGATGGGATTACTCATGGGCCCTAATCCCGTCACCCTTGATTGGGGCAGCTAGGGGCGTGTACATACTTCTTTTTAAGTGTGCTGGTGTTTACATACCGCATCACCGAAGCCGCAGCCCAGGCTTGATAACACTCCTGCTTACTGCGTAATGCAGTCTTACAGGAGCGACCAAACCAAGGCTGAGATCTGCCTCCGATGGGTACCACAGATGATGGAATAAATAGTTTCATTCCCTGTAGCACCACATCAGTGACAGAGTCAGCAACAGCGCTGGGATTATCCGGCGAGAAGCAAACCCGCCCTTATGGGTAGGATGCAAAGAAAGACCGCTTTCCGTCCCAATCCGCCGACCTGTAATGCCAAACACGGCACCAACCTGCAGAACGCAACCGCGAAGGGAGCGTGAGTGGCACCACACTCCGGATCAGACAATGGTCCGAAGAGCCGAGAGGGGCATCGACGGAAACCTGATATCCGTCCGGATGAGAGGTCAGCAGAAGGTCCAACAGGGAAGGTGTATGATCCTCCACATCTGGAATCCGCGTAGGCGAAGTAACCAGTTGTGTCAGACCATATGCCAAAGCAAAGTCATAAACAGATCTCCCCGCATGATCGGTTAAACGTGAACCGAGCCACAGGTCCAGGACAGGTCCGAACCTTCAAGACTGCCGAGGCGTCGAGAACAGATGTCCTCTTTGACATACACGCAAACTCCAGCCCGAGGCACAAAGGAGTGCTCCAATTTGTACCCCGGGTAGGAGAGATACGAAATATCAGCCGGAGAGGAAACCTGCGTCTCGATCAGAAAGAGCAAGACCGGCTTCGCCGTCTCGAGATGGTAGTGGACGGCGTTTCGGTTCGAGTGAAGTCCCCTGATGTTGCAGAAATTCACGGATAGCGTGGCAGGGGTCGCCTTGATCTTATTGCAGTTATGTTTTTGAGCGGAATTTTGACCCCAAGAATACGCGGGGCAGCCTGAGCACCCACGCTCAGGAGTAGAATAACATGCTCGTGGATGGCGAGGGATTCTCCAGGGGTACTGGTACCCTCCTGGGGTAGTCTAACGTGTAATTCCGCTACCATGTTGAGGGGGGGGGGGATTGGGCCTCCGGGCACCTGCACTCACCAGACGAAACGCAGAAGCAGAGCTTCTATTTCACGCCGGTATTCTGTGAGGTCGTGGTACCAACACGGCTCGAGCCGGCCCATACGTGCAAACTGCTGCGTGGCTCTACCACCGTTAGTTTGTTACCACCGTTAGGTTGGGGATGGTATCTCAAGGCGCCTAAGCAGACAGACACCTTATTTTGAGAATCACATCACCATCAGAGCACTTGTTTCACAGTTTCCAGTAATAGTTAACATGTGCAGACACTTAATACACAAAATCGCACCACTTTTACATATCAAAGTCCACTTCAAACCATTATTTAAACTATAATACAGGAGCAGCAAACTGCCGCCGGTCAAGTTCCCGCCAAAACTCCTTCTATGCTCAAAGCACTGTTGTTTACAACGTATGGTGAATTGTAGAGGAGTACATAAATTAGACATTAAATATATAAAAACACAAAATTATGACAGGTATGATAGATACAATAATAGGACAGGAATTATGATGTGAAATATTAGAGTTCCAAATAGTATAGATATAAATTTTCGGAGGAGAAAAGAGTCTGAGCACGTCGAATATATAAATGCAAGGAGTTCTACAAATGTACAGCTATAACCGAAAATGATTTTTTTAATATAGGATAGGGTGACAAACGAGCACACAGTCCACCTGATGGTAATTGGCTACTCTGACCCATAGACATCTACATCTATCATCAATAAAGACTCAAGATGCAGATGCGTTGCCACCCGTGAGGACTAAGATGGAATGCCTCTTTGCCAGTAATAAGGATCTCCGGTTCTCTACACTCACCATACGAAACACAGCAGCGTTAAGCTGCTATTTTACGCTGGTTTTCTGTGAGAGCGTGAAAAATCCATTGAAAAAGGACGACGAATGTGCCGGAATACAAAGCGAATGATTGTTAGTGGAACGTAAACATTTAGTTAATCCACACTTAAATAACAATTAACAATTTCATTGGTGCTGGCGGGAATCAAATTTAGGTTGCTTCTTATATACATACGTATATAGGCTGTCACTTTCTACTGAATATTATATAAATATTATACGAGAGGGTTTAGGGCAAGAAAATGTCCACTGCGCTGCCCTAATGCGTTCAAGATCTCCAACAAGATGTCTTCAAAAAAAAAATCTTTCTTGTTTCTCAGACTACGCTATGAACTCACCCTATTAGGATTTGTAAGATTTTCTTCGGCCAGATCAACTTTGGTCAAGACGAAAATGGTCCGCTTGCCTTGAGGATCGCACGACACCACCAGGTCCGTTACGTTGCTACGTTCCGCGTCCACAGAGCCATCCTGAAGCACACAGTCATACGTACAATTTTAAAATAATCTAGGGATTGTATAATATATTGCTATTACGGGAAAACATACCTGTATACACAGAATTATAGCATTTGGATTGTCCATGTACTGCTTCGTCATTTGTTTGATGGCTTCCCTCGTGTCTGCGGCCATGTCCACTGTTTGTGTCTGTGAACGAAAATCTTTGTATACAGTATATTTATATACAGAATGTAAAGTAATTAATGGATAACCTTGAACTACATATACTTAAAAATATATATCCCATGTATTTATACCCAATGACATGATTTCTTTTAAAATACTAATATTTTTTCACGAATTATATAATCGTTTACTAGTACACTATGATCACTAATGAATTAATTTTGTCGGTTTTTTGGTGATAAAATAGCAAATATTATCTAAAAGAGCAAATATTACTAGTTCTAGCAGAATTTCTTAAAAAAAGACTTTGGCTTTTGTTTGTCATTGCAAAATTTGCAAAAATATTTTGCTTGATAAACTTTGAGCGTCTAGGGTATAAAAATGTATGAAAATATGTGTGCCGAATTATTTTATTGTTATGGGTCGATTCAAAAAGGTATAATTCATTGTTGTACCATATCTAAATGGTAAATTTTAGTGTGTGTGTGTGTGTGTGTGTTGCGCGCGTGTGCGTGTTGCGCGCGTGTACGTGCGTGTGTGTGTGTGTGCGTGTGTGCGTGCGTGTGCGTGTGTGCGTGCGTACGTACGGAGATGACGCCGGGCAGGTCGACCAGCACCATGCGCGGCAGGCCGGGCCCGCGCACCGACATGGAGATGACGTCGGTCGACACGGTGCGTCCGCCGCGCACGCTGTTGCGCATGCGTAGCTCCACCTCCCTGCGCAACACATCCTTTTAACGAAAATGTTCATCATCATCGTCGTCATTATGGCCCTTCTAAAGTCCACTGCTGAACATAGGCCTCCCCCAAGGAATGCCACAAGGCACGGTCCTGAGCCAGCAGCATCCATCAACTTCCTGCATGTCTTATCAGGTCGTAACTCCATATAATGGGAGGTCGTTCTCGATAGCGAAGCCTCCATAGAAGCCAAGAAGTCGGGCTTGCCCTATTAAACTGCTCAATCAATAATATTAACTAATAAAATAACTCGTAAACTGTTTCAAACTATTTCAAATTTCTCTCTTCTATACACGTAATTACTTCGTAGCCTTATTATGTAACGTCAACACTTGGCAGATTGCTTTACTGCGGGATTCTACTGTCATAAAAAAGGAGTTGAGGTGAGCGATTAGTCGTCTCTCTCGCACGCGTGGGCTTTTTACCGGGCATTCGAGAAGATGATCGCTCCATTTCTAACCTGTGGCAAAATGTTCTATAATGAAATATAACTACGATTGTTTATATAGCAATTAGTATAGAACCAAAAGCCCGACTTTTGGTGTGAACTTAGCCAAGCGCGGGGGCGCCCGGGCGATACGTTTGCAACTGCACATTTCAATGTTTACTCTGTGTGTTTACTTGAGCGAATCTATGGAATTAATATTGGGAGTTGAAAATTTATGCTTTTTTAAAGATTTTTAGTAAAAATGGAGGATAATAGTGTTCCTTGTGATGAATTGAAGTGTGTTAAAGTGCTAATCGGCGAGGAAAAGGTAAAATCTTTAAACTTTGTTGAGAAAAAACAGCTCATATCCACATAAACAGTTACAATTAAAACGTTCACCAACATTTTACGCGGACGTAATCAAATCTTTCTTTAAGAAAGAGAGACGATTCGATTTAGAATATAAATAATTTGTTTTTATAATTTTGTACATACTTTGTTCGTACTTTGTTCATGCTTTTCTTTTGTTCATGTATTGTATTGTATGTAAATATCTTTTTCTTTCGCTCAAGCAAACCCAAACGGCTTTTTTCAAAGCCACCGAAGGTATACATATAGTCATACGAGTACAATCTATCTAGCAGTAGTATGCCTTCTGTGTGCTTTGTTAAACACGTCCTCGACAACACTGAATATGAAACTGAAGAATGGAGACAGATCAAGATTGGTGTATTTTTATAAAACCGCTAAAAACAACAAAACCACATCTTGGGCTTGCCCTAATTTGGAGCCCTAGCTTCGCCACTGGCACAGATTAGTTAATAGTTTACTAAACAGATACATCACTCCCATACAAAAGCGAAAATACCTACGCTATAATAGCCTACAAAATCTTAATAATAATATCTACTGTTCGCAGCGAGAGGAAAATGTACCATAAATACGCGCATAAAGAGTCGAGATTGTGTTGACCGCCGTGCGACTCACGTGCAAGCGCGTCATCGCACGAATGCTCTAGGGTTGTACCTATGATGATTATTGTAATAAAACGAATCTTGCGAAATTATCATATTTTTTATTTGTCAATAAAATATGTTTGAGTTTTATAAAATGATTTATACATTTTTTTCCTTCAATTTGAATTCTCGGTTATTAAATTTTATCGTTGAAAATGGTTGTCACACAATTTATAAATATCAGCACTGTTATGCTTTGTTTCGATGTAATCTTATAGTTAAGAAAAAAAAGACAATTTTTCATTTGTTTTTTGACTCTGACACCCATCCACTGCACAATAATTACGTGGTTTCGGCATTTCGACGAGTAAGCGCGGGAAACGTGTGCGGTGCAAGCGCTCAGGCGGGCGTGCGGCAGCCCAACGTCGGTTGTATCGTGGGCGATACGCAAAACGGTAGGCATATAACGCAGGGTCTTGAGCGAGTGACGGAGGCCTGCCACTGGTCATTCTATAGTTCCCCTACTGGTACGAGGCTGTCACTCGAGAATCTTATATGTCGGTTACTCTGGTTCTACTGCGGATATCCTTATCTTTAAAGATTATCTTTAAAGGCCGGCAACGCATCTGCAATTCCCTTCCTGGTTGTTGCAGTTGTTCATGGGCGGCGGTAGTCACTTACCATCAGGTGAGCCGCATGCTCGTTTGCCCCCTCTCCTATATAAAAAAAAATCCTCATTTCTAAGTTTATCACGCAGAGACACCCCGAGCATAGCCCTCTCCATAGCTCGCTGAGCGACCTTGAGCTTCCTCATATGGCCAGCAGTGAAGGACCACGTCTCAGATCCGTAAGTCATCACTGGCAACACGCACTGGTTGTACAATTTCGTTTTCAGGTTTTAAGGTATATCTAACAAGAAGATATGTCGTAGTTTCCCGAACGCTGCCCAGCCGAGTTGAATCCGTCGATTGACCTCTCGGTCGAAGTTGGACTTACCTAGTCGGACTATTTGTCCCAGGTAAACATACTCGTCAACAACTTCGAGCTTAGTGCTCCCAACAACTACCGGCATAGGTGTGACATGGACGTTAAACATGATTTTTGTTTTGTCCTTGTTCATCTTAAGACCTATCCGTTGGGAGACACTATTGAGGTCATTGAGCATAGTGCTTAGGTCCGATTCTGCCATAAGGACTATATCAAGGAAAGTGAGTGATGTACTCGCCATTGATGTTAATACCGCATCATTTCCAGTCCATTAGCTTGAAAACGTCTTCCAACGCAGCAGTGAAGAGTTTCGGGGATATAACGTCACCCTGTCTTACACCTCTCTGCAATAGGATAGGTTTCGTACTCTGATTCTGTACTCGGATAGCCATCGTAGCTTTACTGTACAAACACTTCAGCACTTCGATATACCGACAGTCAACTTGGCACTGCTGAAGGGACTGCAGCACCGCCCACATTTCGACGGAATCAAAGGCTTTCTTATAGTCCACATACGCATGGCAAAGTGGCAGACTATACTCCTCTGTCTTCTGTACAATCTGCCGAAGGGTATGTATGTGGTCTATGGTGCTAAAGCCCTTTCGGAAACCGGCTTGTTCAGGACGCTGGAAGTGGTCAAGTCTGCGTGCGAGACGATTCGTAATGACTCTTGAAAACAGCACGTAGACGCGGCTCAGAAGGGAAATCGGTCTGTAGTACTACAAGAGAGCGTTGTCGCCTTCCTTGAAGAACAAGACCACCGCACTTCTGCTCCACGCTTCCGGAGTAGTGCCACCATGGAGGACGGAATTAAAGAGCTTCTCAAGGACTTCAAGTACCGGTTTTCCACCTGCTTTCAGAAGCTCCGCTGTAATTCCATCCTCGCCCGTGGACTTGCCGTATTTAAGGTGCTTGAGAGCCATTCTAATCTCGCTCAGACTGACGTCCGGGATATCTTCCGAATAGTGTCGAATAAGACTCGCTCTTGGATCGTTACTCACACTTGCGTGTGGCTCCAACGATGACGTGTACAGCTGTCCATAGAACCTCTCAATCTCACTCAAAATCTCAGGTGTCCCGGAAACGATGCTACCACATTCGGCTCCCAGCTTTGACAGTTGGCTCTTTCTGGCAGACAGATCTCTGGCAAAAGACTTTGGAGCATTGGTTCCACTCGATCGCTTCTTCAATACAAGCTGTATTGAAGTTGCGCAAGTCCCGCCGCATGCATTTGGAGATCTGTCTGTTCAGTTGCCTGTATGCTGTCAAATCTGTTGAAGAATGTAGCTTCATTCCCGTCTAACAGCCATGAGATTAAGAGTGTGATCAGAGAGTTTTTGTGTTCTTCTGCGATGGGTCTTGCAGAACTTAGCTCCGACCGCATGGACAGTTCCCACGAGTTTGTCATTCATATCGTCCACTTCATTGCAGTCTTCTAGGCACTGAAAACGGTTTTGTAACTCGAGCTGAAAGGTTTCGGGCTTTTGGAACAGAGCACGAGGGAGACAGAGCGTTGACTTCATTAGACTAGACCTCTCCAACGTAACGTTTAGGTTCAGTGTGCCTCTAACCATTCGATGATCGCTACCAGTTTTCACCCTCGCGATCACGGAGACATCACTGAACAGTTGTCGTCTGGTCGTTATAATGCAGTTAATCTCATTTTTTGTCGAACCGTCGGGCATCGACCAGGTCCACTTCCTGTAGGGCCGCTTCTGGAAGAAAGAGTTCATCATAAAGAGTCCCTCTTTCTCCATGAAGTCGGCCAGCTAGCTGCTGGCCCCTTGGGTTCCGTTGCCCTATTCCAAATTTCCCTACTTTGAGGTCACCGTTCTCTCTTGTGCCGAGTTTTACATTGAAGTATCCCATTAACATCGTATAGTGGGTTTTGGAGGAATGCATGGCTCTAGAGATATCCTCACACATTTCCTCCACCTCCTGATCGGGGTGTGCCGAGGTTGGTGCGTAAACCTGTATGACCTTCAGCGAATACCGTTTGGTGATTCTGAGTATAAGGTACGCAACCCTCGTCGACACACTCTCAATCTTACAACGTTGTTAACGAGAGACTTGTGGACGATAAATCCGAAACCTCCTTGGGACAGATGGTCGCCCCCCCCCCCCCCCGGTGATAGAACAAATTGCCGGATTGGAGGATTACCGTGTCCTCCCCCTCTCTTTGGACCTCGGATAATCCTATAATATGCCAGCGTAACTTGTCTATCTCTTCTTCCAGCTCCACGATCTTCTCGTCAGTTCTCAGGGTGCGTACATTGTATGTTGCCAGGTCGAGTCGTCGTAGGTGGCAACCGAACCTCCACCGGAGATTCTTAGCACCCCCTGCCCCGCCGTTACCATGGTCGCCACCGTAGCCAGGAATAGCGGGGCCGCCGGGGACTGGGGGCCGTTTATTATTGTCATTGCTCATGGGGGTATGTTGCCATAGTTGCCACGCTCGGCGAGCGGGTTGGCAACCGCAGTTTTTTTTTATTGTACATACTGTTATCAGGAAGCTGCTGCCCATCTCCTGCCTGTTTCCCTTTGTCGCCATTTACGACACCCACGGGAAGATATGGGGTAGTGAATATTCTTAACCGTCACTACACGGCAATATAACTACACACAAATGTGTGCTGTATGCTGATGACATTACCATTAATATTGAAAAAATAATAAAACTTTTTAACAGTGGTAGAGCCATGCGGCAGCATTTGCTGTCGCACGGATGGGCCGGCTCGAACCGGGGTGGTACCACGACCTCACAGAAAACCAGCGTGAAGTAAAGGTTTGCCTCTGCGTTTCGCTTGGTGAGTGCAGGTGGCCGGAGGCCCTTTTTACTGGAAATGAGGCATTCCATCTTAGTCCTCACGGGTGACAACGCATCTACATTTTGATTTGTAATAGAGGATAGATGTAGATGTCTATGGGCCGCAGCAACCACTTACCATCAGATGGACTGTGTGCTCGTTTATCATATAAAAAAAAAAATTTTTACTACGAATACGAAATAAATACATACATACAGTACTATAGAAAAAATAACAGATTGCTTAAGACATAATAATTTAAAAGTTAACATCGAATAAACTAAAATGATAAGATTTCAGACATAAAATAGCAAACAAGCACCACTTAAAATCGAATATGGGAAAAACGTCATCAAAGAAGTTGACCATACCAACTTTTTAGGTATAACAATAGACAAGTTCTGTAATTGGAAGACACATATTGATAACCTATGTAGACAGTTAGATAAATTTGTCTTTGTTCTATATCGTTTATGACGAGTGGCTAACATAGAGGCACCACTTTCTGCCTATCATGGATATGTTTCTTCGACTTAATAATTTGAGGTAATTCTGTCGATTTAATTAGAGCTTTTCACGGGCAAAAAAAAAAATGTGTATGGTCTTTATGCGGAGCACACCAATTAGATAGTTGTGTTTCCCTTTTTCGCAAACATAAAATATTGTCGCTTCCAGCATTATACATTTACGAAATTTGTATCTTTGGGACTAGTAGAAACATACATAAATTGTGTGTACCAAAACAAAGAATACAACTATACTCAAAAAATATATTCTGTATGGCAATACATGTTTACAACAAATTGCCTGTTTGTTTCAAAAAAATGAATATAGGAATCTTTAAAAGTAAATTATTTCAATTTCTTTTAAATAAATGTTATTACTCTATAAATGACTTCTTAAATGATAAATTTGACTTGAATTGTAATTATTGAAATTAATCTCGACTTAATTTATTGACATGTTTTAACTAAAAAATATTATGAATTAATTGATTGATATTTTTGTTTTTATATAGATGCTATTTAGTTCCCTTAAGTATTGCTATAAGTATATTTATATTCTATAATAATTAATGTCTTGGTTTTCTCAATTTTAACATAATCTGTCTGAAAATATTTGTACGCAGGAAACTGCAGGATATTTAGGATCTGAATTATTTTGTAACAATTTAAATGTACCATATTCTAACAAATAATATTATCTTATGTTACAATAAAACAGTGTAGATATTTATATTATGCTATGAAAATATAATGCAGCTATTTTATCCGTCCTAAAAGTTAAACTGACAAAAGTATTCTTTTACTTTTACCTTAAAAAGACTGATGGTATTTAGTTGACGGATAGGTGGGGGCAAGTTGTTCCAGCATTTAGTAGCTGCATATCGGAAACTACCGCGGAATGCTGCCGTTGTGTTTTGGTATTGAAAGGACATTTGATTTTGTTCGCAAGTCCTTAAAACTACCGTCCTTGCGCCGTTTTAGTTTTTCTAACATATACCCGGGCTTTTTGTTTTGAAAGACACCGAACATTAGTATTGCCAAATGTAGTGCTCTTAATTGGGACATTCTTAATAACTTTGACTGACTGACTCATAAAATATTATCAAGAGTTTTTGTATGATATATCAAAATTATAAGTATTCAGAAAACCGCAGATCTATGGCGGATTAGGGTTAAAGTTATTGCGTCTATAATATAAGTGCACTAGTACCTTCATTTCAATCTGGTAGTTTTTTGGAACCTACTAATTTTAGAACTATTTCTGTGGTGCCAACACTCAAGATTTTTTTGAATAATTAATCTTCAAATTATAAAACTCGAAAAAATCCGTAAGGTGTGATTAAATACATTTTCTGTGCAGTGTAGAACTCAGAAGATGTTTTGGCAATATTGTGGGACCTTTCCAAGGCTTTCGATTGTGTTCAACATGAGACATTAATCAGGAATCTACGTTACTATGATGTAAAAAACATAACACTTATACTTATTACAACATCATATTTAAATAATAGAACGCAAGAAGTTGTTATAAATTTGAATAGTTCATACTGGTCGGTAGTATGTATGGGTGTTCCTCAGGGTTCAATTCTTTGCCCTTTTGTTTGTTCTTGGTAGAGAAAACCATATATAGTTTTATTTGCTGATAATACTTCGTTGATTTTCAGAATTAAACGGCAACGGTTGAAATATAACGAAGTGAATAATGTTATACAAAAATTAGTACACTGTTTAACACACTGTTCAAAAGTAAATTGTTGATGTTGAACAGTGTACTAATTTTTGAATAGCATTATTTACTTCGTTATATTTTAACCATTGTAATGGAACGAAATGTATTGAACTCACAACACCAATAACATTTGGTGACAAGTGAACCCACATATATTTAAAGTAGGTAGCAAAATTAGTAAAAAAAAAGGCTGTTGCGTTCTCGTCATTAATGATACGAGATAAAATAATTAAAATTTTAATTTAATTTACAATTAATGAGATGAGATGAAGTGATGATGATAATGATTTGTGGCTCAGGACCGTGCTTTGTGTCATTCCTTAAGGGTGTTTCCTACGCTCATCAGTGGACTTGTGATGGACTGTAATAATGATGAAATTTGATTCTAATAACCTGGTAGATGAATTTTATAATTTGACTCACTTGCGCAGGTCCGCTAGATCTGACTCCTTGTTGAGATCGAACTCCCGCGCAGAGTCCCGGAACTGCGCTACGTGGTACGGCCCTTCCGACAGCGTCACTTTTACTGGCGCCCTGGAAAATAAGTATACTGATTAATTAATAGTTCCACTACATTCACGTTATGACATTTAGGGCAAGCGACTTGACCCTGTTGAGTTATAACGGCTGTTAGGCATTATACCTAACATGTTTATATGATTATATGATTTTTATTGTGTACTTTTGAGTGGGTTCCTGGATGGTTTAGATTCACAATTGGACCCGGTAGGTGACGTTGTTGAAGCCCAGGCGGTATATATCTTTATATATAAAAATTACGTGTCACATTGTTTGTCCGCGATGAACTCCCTAAACTACTAAACTGATTGCAATGAAATTTTGCACACTCTGTGCAGTTTGGTCCAACTTGAGAGATAGGATAGTTTTTATCCCTGTAAGTGACCCTCTATATTTTTATTAAGAATTTTTATAGGATACAGGGTCGTCGGAAAGGGCAGAACAACGTCTGCCCTTGCTGTCTAATATATATATAATAAGTATAAGTGTTATGTTATTTAAGTTTGGTACATTTGGCACAAACGTAATATATGTGCAATAAAGAGGAAGGAATTTTTAATGAAACTAGTTTTTACAGATTTTATCGCATATATTAACTTATTTTATATTCCCGACGTTTCGAGTACTTTACAGTAGCCATGGTCACGGCGGACTGAGGTGTTTGACGTCCCAATGTCATAGTTAATCACGGGAACCTTTAGTTTAAAATTACTAATTATTGTTTCTTGAAGTCTTGCAGTTGTATGCTTGGGTTAGGATTTAATTTTATTATTTATAGTGTACCAAGCGCCCAAGCTGGGTATCGCCCAGCCATCTTGTCTATTTAAATTAAGATGTTTTTTGATTTCAATAGCTTCCACATTCTTGGAAGCAATCGGTGTTCTTTAATGAGAATTTGTGACGATCTTGATCATGTTCACAGACTGCAGAATTTCCGGAGCTTCGATTCTTCACATCAGCCGGTAAAATCCGTAAAAATTAGTTTCATTTAAATGTGTAGTGTACGCGTGAACATAAGGAATGATTAAGAAGAAGGGAGCGGCCGCCGGCGGACCTGGTGCACATCTCGCCGGCGCCGCGCGGGAAGATGCGCGCCTGCGCGATCATCTCGAGCACGGACGTCTTGCCGGCCGACTGGTCGCCCACCACCACCACCCGCGGCAGCCGCCCGGCCTCCCCCGAGTCCCAGCCCGCCAGCTCGTCCAGCACCGACGAGTACATGTCGATCAGGGACCGCTGCAACCAAATACCTAAATATCATTTCTTAACATTAATACAATCAGGTCTTACGTCAAGCTACTTCACCTGAGGATGCCTCGTTTAGGGGCCAATATACGAGTCGTACTATCGATAGTGGAGTGTGTTTCCTAATGTAGTGATGACGGGGACAGTGCACGTAATTTATGATGGGCAGGAGGTACGTTTTTTACGCAATAGAGCCATGCTGCAACTATATTATGGTTGTAGCACGAATAGATCGCCTCGACCGGAGAAGGAACACGCACTCACAAAATATCAATGCAAAATATCAACTCAATGCTCCTGTGGTTTATATGGTAAGTGTGGAGAACCGGAGAGCCTTTTGACTGGTAATGAGGCATTCCATCTCAGTCTTCAGGGGTAACAACACATCTGAATTTTGATTCTTAATCGTAGATAGATGTAGATGTCTATTGGTCACATTCTCCAAGAGCTGGCGACGAATTTTGGGAAGGTCCTTTTGACAAGTTGAAATTGTGAAAAAATATAATTTTGTCATCTTGATTTTTTCTTTATCTTTTTATTTACTTTTCATAAAATAAAAAAAGATCGCAGACGTTTTTGTCGATTATAAAGTATTACTAGACCCCTCCAAAAATATTTTATTAAATTTCCCAAAAAATATACTTTTGACAGTGTCAAATTTTAATGTCGATTATTTATTAAGTAATTTTAATAATACCTGCCAATCGCCAGCCAAATTAAGCGGTTTTAAACAATTCCCAGACATGAATAAAGTTTACAAATGAATACGACAAAAAAGTGTTATGCATAGCCATAAGTGCGAGAGAGATAGCTTATCGTATATAGAGATAGTACTCGTAGCTCTAGCACTAGGGTTGAGAAAAAAAACATTTCCAAAGAACTACGTTGTATTCTGTTCTATATTTTAGTCTGTCATCTATATGTTTATCTCTGATTAGCCTAATGGTTGACTGGGAGAGAATGCCTTAAGGCGTTAAGTCCGCTATATGTACGATTTCTCTTTTATGCATAAAAGTTTAAACAAATAAAAATAAATAAATAAACACATCAGTGAAATAATGCATAGTTTTTTTGAAGTGAAAACTTCTTTAGAATCGTTGTGATTTGTAACTCGAGGAAACGAAAAAGCGACACTATAAAGAGACAAACATATACATAGTGTTTCCTATTATTTTGGTCTCCTTTTCTGCATGCATGCGCGTGGCTCTACCACTGTTTATCAACAGTGGTAGAGCCACGCGCAGCTTTCGCTGTCGCACGGATGGGCCGGCTCGATCCGGGGTGGTACCACGACCTCACAGAATACCAGCGTGAAGTAGAGGTTTACCTCTGCGTTTCGCTTGGTGAGTGCAGGTGGCCGGAGGCCCTTTTTACTGGAAATGAGGCATTCAGTCTTAGTCCTCACGGGTGACAACGCATCTGCATTTTGATTCGCAAGCGAGGATAGATGTAGATGTCTATGGGCCGCAGCAACCACTTACCATCAGGTGGACTGTGTGCTCGTTTGTCACCCTTATCTTATAAAAAAAAAAAAAAAAAAAAAAATGCATGATTTTATTTCGAGCACAGAGACAAACGTACTTAAAGTCCACCAGCAAGAAGCTACAGCGCCATGGTGCCAAGAACATAGCGCTTAAACTTATTATTTCAAACTTACATAAGTAATAGAACACAAACAGTTATTATCAATGGTAAAAGTTCTTCCGGGTCACCTGTATTAATAGGTGTTCCTCAGGGCTCAATGCCTGGCCCATTCCTATTTCTAGTCTATATTAATGACTTTGCTTCGGAATAATCTCATAATTACATTACCTTCAACTTCCTGGCCGGCGGTTGCCTTCCCTGTCTCAATAGCATGTTCTGCTGCCTCAACTCTCTGTTCTCCTGCTCCAAGCGCTGCAGTTCACGCTGGTAACGAGCCTGAAGAGCCAACACTTCCTCTTGAAGTGCATGCACTCTCTTTTCTGAGAAAAAAGCGTTATCAATTAGAATTTTTATAGATGTTTTTATATGCGCTCATATATATACTCAAAACGCTATTTTAATATCTGTCGGTATTTTTTTTCCCGACCATATAGCTCGAAGAACCGGCAACCTATGGGAAAGAAAGGTTTTACGGTTGTGGCAGCCTCGTACCGGTAGACCCGGTGTATAGCGGCCCCCTCTAGATAGAGTGACGAACTGGTAAGAGATGCAGGAAGTCGGTGGACACAGGTGGCTCAGGACCGTGCTTGGTGGCATTCCTTGGGGGAGGCCTATGTTCAGCAGTGGACTTGTGAAGCGTTTTGATGATGATTCAAAGTAGATAATAAACGCTCAATATATTTTGTTGAATTTAGTTTCTTCTTAGTAAATGAAATATTGTTAATTCTTAATAAGAAATAAAGTTTTTAAACTATAAACTACATATTCTGTGAAAGCGTGGTTTTTCCCCGGCCAAGCTATTTGTGCTCCAATCACATAATAGAACCAGAGCCTGGTTCTACTGCATAAAGGTGTAGATGTAAGGTTGTAGATAAATATTGTGCACGACGCAAACATAACAATACCTCGAACGAAATGACTTACGGATTGCTTGTGGTAACCATCGCTAGTTGAACAACCTAGGGGCGGTGGGCGGAGCCATGAGAATGTTATGATCGTCGGGGCGCGCTCATGGTTCCACAACTAGCGGTGGTTGCCCACAGAAACGCGGGAAAAGCCGTAGCAATAATATTAAGAAATATAGCTTTATTGTTAAATAAATAATATTGTAACTATGTAATAACTCTCGTAATAAAGGCACCGAACAACTGGCGAGAGTTAACATAGATTTAGGATATAGAAATTAATTAATGCCAAATTGTAGAATAAGTATTATATGTAAAATGTATTCTTTTGTATAGTGCAATTTAATTCCTTATGTATTAAGCCTTTAGGCACGATAAATAATAAAACAGGGCATTTTACTGTGACGCGGCCGCGGAGCGAATGAGGCTACGCGCGCCGCGCCAGGACGTTTTATATTTATAGTACTGAGGCGGGGGGCAGGGTCCTCAGCTCAAAATTGCTGGAATAACAACGTTTTAACCTTTACTATGTAGAAAAATTGTTATATAAGTATTAGTTTAATAAGTAATTGTAAGAATGTAATATATTTAAGTCTGTACATTAGTTTTTAAGAGATTTACCTAATAAAGAAAGGCGCGGGGGTGAGGCAAGGGTCCGCTGGCCAGCAACGGCCAAATAGTATATAAGACGGGCCGGCCGGAACGGTCGGCAGTCGCTCTCCAGCTACAGAAAAGAAAACAACAGCAAGAAAAGAAAAAGTTCCTTTCGGTTCCGGATTACTGGAAGAAAAAGACAATATCGGTCTTGGTATTGCCGGAAGAAAGAAGCAAACCGCAAGAACGAAAAAATATTATTGTGAAGAAAAATGGTGATTACACGTAGTAACAACGGAGAATCATCGAAGCGTCGCAAGGATGAACAAACAACCCAGGGGGCCACAGAAGAGGCCTCTGGGGGCGATTCAACCGCTACTGGTACATCCGACACCACGAGCGAAACCACAACGGTCAGCGATATAACCGCTACCTCTGCGACCGATAACACGGCCGCAACGGAAGAAACCCAGCGAGAGAGGGATCGAAGATCGCAGCGCACACTAAGGCCCGACGAGACTAGGTCGCGCCGCTCCGTAGCCTCACGCAAGAGACTCCTCGCGGAGTTAGAGGCGAAAGAGCGGTTAGCCGAACTCAAGCTCGAGCAGGCTCAGTTGCAAGCAAGAACGGAATTGCAAGAAATACACGTGCAGCGATTACAAGCAGAACTCGGATCAACCGATGACGAAGATGAAGAAATAGAAGACGATTTAGCATCAGTACGCATTATTACATGGTTGCAAGAAAAACCTACACACAAATACAAACCAGCGCCGCAGCCTGCGCCGCAACCCACGTCGCATTTCGCATCGCAATCCGCTCCGCAGTTTGCATCACAACCCGCGCCGCAGAAAGAAGACAATGGGCAGGCGCAGCAACAAATCGACGTCGCTACCTTAGCCGCTGCTCTATCACAAGCAGTACGAAGCACAAGGGAGCCGCCGAAATATGTGCAAGAGCTACCTACATTCAATGGTAGCAGCAAAGAATGGCTCAGCTTCAAAACAACGTACGAAGAATCTTCAAAGTACTTCACGATGAACGAAAACATAGCGAGAATACGCCGAAGCTTAAAAGGGACAGCAAAAGAAACCGCCGGTTGCCTACTTATAAGCCAACCAGATCCCAGCCTGATAATGGAAGCTTTGGAAAGGAGATTCGGACGACCAGAAGCGTTAATCCACTTGGAAATAGAGAAGCTGAAGCTGCTGAATAAAGTTACGGACAATCCCAGGGAGCTATGCATATTCGCAAATCGCATAGCAAACGTAGTGGGCACCGTGGAAGCACTCAAGAAAGCACACTATCTGCATAGTCCGGAAATGACGCGAGTTATCACAGACAAACTCACGCCTATATTGAGAAGCAAATGGTACGACTATGCAGCCAGAAAGAAAGAAGATATCCCAGAGCTTAAGAAGATATCAATGTTCTTAAACGATGAAGCGGACAAATGCAGCGCGTATGCCTTGCCGGAGTTCATAGCAGAGGACAGCGAGACGAGAGAGCGAAGACCGAGAAAAATAGAACGTGCCTTCGCCACAAGCAAGAAACAATATGAAGAACGCTGCCCTCAATGCAAACAAGAACACAAACTGCCCGATTGCAAGTCATACGCCGCTCTGTCCACAAATGACAGATGGGAAGTAGCAAAGAAGAATAATATCTGCTACCGCTGTCTGCGAGGTAAACATCGCCGATTGCTGTGTAAAGCTCCACCGTGCGGAAAAGGCGGATGCATGATACACCATAAATTGCTGCATCACGATAGAACAGCAGAAATTGAAAAGGAACCCGCTATGGAAACCGCAACATCGGCAAGGGAGGTCATCACAGCGACTCAACCGTACAAACACCGCCGCGCTTATCTAAAGATTGCGCCCGTAACAATAAGGGGGCCGCTAAGCTGCGTCGAAACATACGCATTATTGGATGAAGGAAGCACGGTCACCTTAGTCGATGCCTCGATCGCCGACGTCATCGGCGCCGACGGCCCAGCCCACGCTATGTGGATACAAGGGGTCGGCTCGGAGGCGAAACATGAGAAGAGCAAGATCGTCAGCCTTAAAATAAGAGGAAAGTACGCGCAAGAGGAACACAACATAGAAGCAGCGCGTACGATAGAGCGGTTGGACTTCGCGCCAGAATCCGTGAATGAAAATCTCTTAGAGAATTGCCAACATCTGTTGGATATCAAAGAAGATATCACCTACGAACGCGCCTCACCGAAAATACTGATCGGACAAGATAACTGGTACCTCATAGTGTCTAGAAAACTGCGCACCGGTCGTCGAGACCAACCAGTCGCCTCACACACCAACCTGGGCTGGGTTCTGCATGGCTGTCATAGCTCATTGACGTCGACGGTCACCTTCTGCGGCAGACTACATCAGAGGGAAGATACACAGCCGATAGAAGAGGAAATAAAAAATTATTTCAAATTAGAATCGCTGTGCATCGAGCCAAGAAGACCGAAAGAAGATCCCGAGCAGCGAGCTATGCAGATGTTGAGGGAAACCAGCCAGAGGTCGGCGGACGGCAGATTCGAGACAGGGTTGTTGTGGAAACAAAAGGATTTCCAAATACCAAATAATTACAAGGACGTGGAAAGGCGCCTGCACACCTTAGAGAAGAGGCTCGACCGAGACAGCAATCTCAAGCTACAGTACGGAGAACGCATACAGAACCTTTTCAACTCGGGTTACGCAGAGCGCGCGCCCATGCCACCGCCGCAAGAAAGGACATGGTATCTGCCACACTTCCCAGTCATCAACCCTGCGAAACCAGACAAGCTGCCGAGATTGGTGCACGACGCCGCAGCGAAGACAGCCGGAATATGTCTCAACGATATGCTTCACTCGGGGCGCGACTTGTTACAATCATTGCCCGGAGTAATCATGAGGTTCCGACAGTATCCGTATGCAGTGAGCGCCGACATAAAAGAGATGTTCATGCAGATCAAAGTGCGCAAAGAAGATAGAGACGTTTTACGTTTCTTATGGAGAGGCAAGCGTCGGGAGGACCAACCGGAAGAATATAGGATGACGTCAATCATCTTTGGAGCGACATCATCACCGTGCACAGCATTATACATCAAAAATAAAAATGCTGAAGAACATGCAGAAGCATACCCAGAAGCTGCGGTCGCCATAAAAAGAAATCACTATATGGACGACTACTTGCAGAGCTTCCACTCTGTCACGGAAGCTCAGCAAACGGTAAAAGAAGTCGATCACGTCCACAAACAAGCGGGATTCGTACTCAGCGGGTGGACATCGAACGAAGAGAAAACAATAGAAGAAATAACGACAGAACATAAACAATACGACGCGACCGTGAGCCTGGGCGGAAAAGAAACTGAGAAGACGCTCGGCCTGCTCTGGCATGTACAAAGCGATCATATTGGATTTAATACTCACAATATTAGGATGCCTGCCGACGTAAAAGAAAAACAACGCTTGCCAACTAAACGTGAAGCGTTGAGCATCATAATGGCATTATTTGATCCGCTGGGATTAATATCACCAGTGACCACCCCAGCGAAGAGAATATTCCAAAACACATGGCGTTACAAGGCGGACTGGGACGACCCTCTGCCCACAGAATTAAAAGAAAAATGGGAAGACTGGATTACTTCACTTAACGCCATAGAACAACTGAGAATACCGCGATGCTACGATTACAACCCGGTGTCGACGCGCCAACTACACACATTCGTCGACGCAAGCGAGGAGGCCTACGCAGCAGCCGTGTATTGGAGAACGGAGCGAGCAGACGGCAGCGTTAACGTATCATTGGCTGCCGCCAAGAACCGCGTAACA